GAGCAAGCAGGAGAGGGGCAGAGAGAGGGAGACACTGAATCTGAAGTGGGCTCCAGGCTCTTAGCTGTCAGCACAGAGCCCAATGAGGGGCTTGAACTCACAGTGAGATCATGACCTGAGCCAAAGCTCAATTGACTAAGCCACCCAGGTGCCCCTCAAGTCTTTATTATTTAAGAAATGTATCTTATATGGCTAGAGCTGCCATAGATAGTGACTCCCCTGGTGGACTTGGGCAAAGTCAATTGAAAACCTTCTAGAAAGTATTCACCATCCTAGATGCCACTAAGAACATTTGGTTTGTCACTCATGGCAAGAGGGTAAAATATCCACATTAACAGGAATTTGGAAAAATTTGTTTCGAACCTTCATGGATGACCTTGAGTGGTTCAAGACTTCAGTGAAGGAAGTAACTGCAAATGTAAGAACTAAAATAAAAGGGGAGCCTGAAGATGTGGCTGACTTGCTGTAATTTCCTGATAAAAACTGATGAGAAATTGTTTTTTTTTTTTAGTTATCTATTTATTTAAGCAATCTCTACACCCAATGTAGGGCTCAAACTCATGACCCAAGACCAAGAGTCATATGCTCTTCTGAGCCAGCCAGGCACCCCGAGAAGTTGTTTCTTATAAATAAACCACTTTCTTAGTGATTTCTTGAGATAAATTCTACTCCTGGTGAAGATGCTGTGATTGCTGAAATGACAACAAAGAATTTAGGATATTACATAAACTTAATGGGTAAAGCAGCAACAGGGTTTGAGAGGATTGACCCAAATTATGAAAAAAAGTTCTATGGTGGATAAAATATTACCAAACAGTATCATATGCTGAGAAATTGTTCATGAAAGGAAGTCAAGCGATATAAAAAAACAAAACAAAACTCCATTGTCTTAAGAAATTGCCACAGCTTCAGCTTCACCCCCATCAGTCAGTAGCCATCAACATGGAGGGAGGACCTCCAGAGGTTACAGCCTGCTGAAAGTTAGCCTTCTTTTTAGCAATAAAATTCTTTTTTGAGAAAGAGAGCATGCATGCGCACATGTGGGGGAAGGACAAAGGGAGGAAAGAGAGAATCCTAAGCAGGCTCCACGTCCAGTGTGGAGCCATATGGAGGGCTCAATCTCACAACTATGAGATCATGACCTGAGCTGAAATCAAGAATTGATGCTTAACCAACTGAGCTACCCAGGTGCCCCAGCAATAAAATATTTTGAATTAAGATACATACATTTTTTAGACATAATACCATTGCACACTTAAAAGACTACAATATAAACAGTAACTATTATATGCACTATGAAGACAAAAAAAAAATCATTTCTCACTTTACTGTGGGGGTCTGGAATCGGAACCCGCAGTATCTCCAGGTAGGCCTATACTGATCTACTACTATTTTTAATAGTGTAACACTACTATGTCACACATTGGTTCTTCCCAAATTCTCACTTTATACCAATTCTTAACTCTGGAACAACAAATCCAACTAGTCCCTCTTTTATCATTCAGTTCCAAGAGAGTTTTAAAGGATAATCTCTTTATTCTGAATAAGGGAAGGTGTAAAACCATGGACTGAGTCATTCCTCATGTGTTTGGTGGAGAAAGGTGATACTGCTGCAGTTCACACCTGCTGCCCAAAATCATGAAGCTGCCCAGAGGTAATAATTCTGAAAGCTCTATTTAAAGTAGCTAAAAAGAGAAAAAAGATCCTGAATTCCTAAGCCAGCTTTAGAGTATGTAGCTTCAAAAGTGCCTAGTGGGTAAGGGAGGAAGCAGAGTGAATAGTGAATGGTATTATGCAGTATAAAGAAAAGCTTATATATTTGAAATGTTATTATTTATCTTGAATATTTCCTTCCTTATAAAATAAATGACATGAAGATCTAGGTATGACCACTGTATTTCAACTATGAAGATGTGACATTAGAGTACAAACAAGCTAGAAGGCATTTCCAAGTTGATATAGTCCGATCTTTAAAACTTTTCACTGACCAAATTAATCAAGATTAAAAAATTAATAAAATAAAGGGCCACAAGACCTGTAGCATCATGTATAACTCACAAGAAAAGTACAGGCTACAGAATTCAGAAACCATGAAGATTTTCTGGAAGAAGCTATAAATACTGAAACATGTACAAATTATTAAAGTGTTTTTATCTTGTTTCTCAATAAAATTAGTATTTTTAAAAATCACAGAAAATTCCTTAGGTATACATTTTACCAAGAATTTTTCCTCATACTTTTACAAAGCTGTAATCATGGACTCTGACGCTACTGAATAGTTTTATCACATGACACAGTATCTGTTATAATATTTGTAACTTTATTTTAATGGCTGCCTAACATTCCAATGAGTAATAATTTCTAAATTATTTCCCTTTCTGATATTTGTCCTATAATGCTGAAGTTAGTATTCACATGCATATACTTTTCCTGTATTTGAAATTATTTCATTAGACTAAAATCTAATTTCTAGTTTTATTTTTTTAATCAGTATAGACTCCATAGAGCTGGGACTGGATTCTAATTTTAAAGGAATGAGAACTTATGCAGACTAGAGGTGGGGATTCTGGAGGGTCCTGATCACTTAGAAGCCCAAAGGGACAGGAAGAGAGTAAAAACAAATAATTTGGACAAAACAATACTACTACTTAAAAATGGGGAGGATTTAAGAAACTAGGTGACTTTAGGACTGCCTGAGTGGCTCAGTCAGTTAAGCGTCCAACTCTTGATCTTAGCTCACGTCATGATCTCACAGTTCCTGAGATGGAGCCCCAAGTCAGGTTCTGCACTGACAGCACAGAACCTGCTTGGGATTCTCTCTGCCCCTCCCTTGCTCTCACTCTCTGTCTCTCAAAACAAACAAGCTTAAAACAAAACAAAACAGGGGCACCTGGTGGCTTAGTCGGTTAAGTGTCCGACTTTCGCTTAGGTCATGATCTCGCGGTTCACGGGTTCGAGCCCCGCATCGGGCTCTGTGCTGACTGCCAGCTCGGAGCCTGGAGCCTGTTTCAGTCTGTGACTCCCTCTCTCTCTGACCCTCCCCTACTCACGCTGTCTCTCTCTCTCTCTCCTAGAAATAAATAAAACATTTAAAAAACAAAAGAAAACAAAACTAGATGACTTCAAAACACTGCTAACATTAAACTTTCAAAACACTTTTTTAAAACATTTTTAATGTTTATTTATTTTTGAGAGGGAGAGAGAGAGTGCAAGTGGCAGAGGGGCAGAGAGAAAGGGAGACAGAATGTGAAGCAGGCTCCAGGCTCTGAGCTGTCAGCACCAAGCCCCATGCGGGGATCAAACTCACTGACCTCGAGACCATGACCATGACCTGGGCTGATGTCCGATGCTTAACTGACTAAGCCACCCAGGCGCCCCTCAAAACACTCTTTTATCTTCTAAGAAAAGGATATTACCAAGTCTTCCTATCCCAGAAGATGTAATTCTGAGGAAGCTGTAAAAACAAAATTTCCCAAGGCGCCTGGGTGGCTCAGTCAGTTAAACCTTGGACTCCTGATGTCTGCTCAGGTCATAATTTCAAGGTTCCTGAAAAGGCGCCCTGTGTTGGGCTCTGGACTGGTAGCACGGAGCCTACTTCGGATTGTCTCCCTCTCTCTGTTCCCCTACCCCATTGGCACCGGCTCTCTCAAAATAAATAAACATTTAAAACAGACCACAAAAAAAATTTCCCATGGACTACTGGATTGTAAGTAGTCAATAAACTCTTTGTGTATACACAAACACATATCTCAACCACTATTTTGTTAAATACATAGACAAGGAAGGATACAAACAAAACAAAACAGGCTCTAAATCGATCGTTGTTGGGGCGCCTGGGGGGCTCAGCCGGTTAAGCGTCCGACTTTCGCTTGGGTCATGATCTCGTGGTTCCTGGGTTCAAGCCCGGCGTCGGGCTCTGTGCTGACTGCCAGCTCAGAGCCTGGAGCGTGTTTCAGATTCTGTGTCTCCCTCTCTCTCTGACCCTCCCCTGATCACGCTGCCTCTCTCTCAAAAATAAATAAAACATTAAAAAAAATTTTTTTTAAATCGATCGTTGTTGAAGTTGGATGAGGAGGGAATCCATTATACTTTCTACACTGAAAGTATAATGTAGAAATTTTATACTGCTTGAAATTTTAAAAGTTAAAAATATATACGCATAAGAGAGAAAATTACAAGTCCCCCAAAAGTTACTTACGACCGGCTTTTATTTTTAATTTTACTACAACAGAGAATGAAAAGTGGTTGTGTCTTTCCTACTGCCTAATTGTAAACGAAACTTCCATAGATCCCTATCCTTACAAAAGTTTACGCAGCTCGATCGAGTTTTCAAGTCCTCAAATCCAGCACCCCGGAAGAGGAGCGCTGAGAACACAAAGCGGAGAGAGACAGGGCAGGGCCTCAGGCTCCTAACAAGGTGTCTCATAAAACACGTAGGGGTCTGCAAAACGGAGCGAAGACCGCTGCTTGCTTAACAGAGATAAAGCCCGTTTCCTTCGGCCAATGGGGGCCCAAGTCTGGGGTCCCCCAGTGACCACCTCAGGAGGCCGCCCCGCCAGGTGGAGGCGATCACACCTTCAAGCTCAACGGAGACACCGACCTTCCCGAAGTCTCTCACGGAACCAGTGTACACGGCACAGGGGTGTCACCGAGACCGCAGGACAAGCCCTGTCACCAACGGGAGGCAAAACCAAGGCCGTGGCGTTTCCGCCTCGAGGCAGAAAGGACAACAGGAAAGTTCTGCCGCTTCAAGTATCCAAGACCAGCGGTCCCGGGCTGCTCCGGGCCCTGCCACGCCCCCAACCCCGGCCTCAGGTAGGCCCCCCGCACCAAGGACCCTCGGGCCTGACCTCCGGCCTGACCCCCAAACCCAGGATCCTTCCCTTTCTCCTCAACTGCTACTTCGGGGTCGTCCGAACCCAACATTTGGGACTTCTAAATCCGGGGCGCAGTGGGAGGAGGAAAACAAAGACCCTTGACGCCGAGACTGCCACACTGACCTGGCTGAATCCAGGTGCGAAAACGGCTGAGACGGACTTGGCACTCAAGGAACAGCATCCAAAATGGCGGCTCGCTCAGCCTCAGCACAAGCAAGGGCGGGCGGAGGAATCTGCGAAGCCAAGCTAGCCACGCCCTCCTTCCCCGGGATTGGCTGTTCTCCCGCCCCTCCCGGAACTCACGTTTTGAAGGGCCCGAGCCTCGCTCATTCAGCTCCCTTAGGAGCCGGCGCGATGGGACTACTTCCCGCGGCGGAGGCATGGGAGGTGACGCGTTAAGACGTCAAGCCACCTGCGTTAGCGTCATTTGGTAGAGGCGCGGCCCGGGGGTATCGCTGGGCTTACTTTAGGCGCAGGGAGGCAGGCGGGAGTGGTTTGTTCACCTGTTCTGTGCCCGGTTTCTTTTTCTGCATTGTTCTAGTTCCTCGAAAAACCGGCTCCAGCACTACCTTTTAAATACCCAGTGTTAACTACGTGAGATTTGCTCTGGTGCCTCCCTCAACTCCAATGGCCCGGAGAGGCTTTCCCCCGTGTCAGTTTCTTTCCTCCCGCGGCAATGACTGAGTAGGTTTCCACCCTTTAAAAGCTTTTATCCGACCTTTCACCCTGTTCCCTTTGTTGCTCCCACCATCACTCCATCGATGCCCTCCAATAGTCTTGCCCCTCTTTTAAACCAAATCTGATTACTATTTTAACCAGAATCTCTAGTCTGTATTTTTAAATTCACGAATATGTTTCCTCAACACCACGTTCTCCAGGAACTTACCTTATCTCCGTATTCAGAGGAAACTTTGATTTAGTTTTCTTTGTTTTCCACTTGAAAACCATTCAGCTTCCTATTGGAAGGGGCTTCTTAGGCTCTTGGTTTCTAGGAGGTAACCCTGCCCCTGCTGTGGAGGTTACATCTATCGTGCTAGGTACAGTTGCTAAATTGTAACGCGGTCATAGGACAAGGATGGACTATGCGTTACTGTATGAGGTTTATATGAATTTAGAAGTACTGTTTTTATAAGCACTTGCAGTACTCCTAAACACAACCGGTTCCAGAACCTCAAAATACAGTGTTTGGTTCTTTTAAAATGTGGGGGGAGGGGTCCCCCCCTGTAAATGCATGCAAATATAATTCAGCCTGTTGTGCAATAAGGTAATGGCATCTAAGAAAATAGAAGTGAAGGCGGACTACTCGAATTTAAAAAGCCTTGGAGACACTGCAATCAAATGGAATGTGTATGAATCTTGTTTAATGATTCAAATAAACCAACTGTAAAAGACATTTTGGAGACAATCGGGGAATTTAGTTTATGGACCAAGTATTACACAATACCAACCAAAGAACTGTTATTTTTTAAGCATGAAAATGGCATTGGGATTTTGTAAGAAAATATCTTTTGTAAATGTTTCAAGGGGCGCCCGGGTGGGTTGGTCAGTTGAGCGTCCGACTTAGGCTCACATCATGATCTCACGGTTCGTGGGCTCGAGCCCCACGTCGGGCTCTGTGTTGACAGCTAGCTCAGAGCCTGGAGCCTGCTTCGGATTCTGTGTCACCCTCTCTCTGCCTTCCCCTGCGTGTGCTCTGTCTCTGTCTCTTCCTCTCTCAAAAATAAGTAAACATTTAAAACTTTTAATGCTAACTTTTTGATTATGTATATTTTACCACAATAAAAAACTATTCATAAACAATGTTTTTAATTTTTTTAGTGTTTACTTTTTTAATGTTTTATTTATTTCTGAGAGAGGAGGGACAAGACTGAGCCACCCAGGCACCCCTTTAATCTTTACTTATATTACATACACACACACACACACACACACACACACACACATCCTGCGAGTCGGGGAGGGGCAGAGATAAGGAGACAGAATCGGAAGCAGGCTCCTGGCTCTGAGCTGTCAGCACAGAGCCCAACGTGGGGCTTGAACCCATGAGCCATGACATCATGACCTGAGCCAAAGACTCTTAAGGAACTGAGCCACCCAGGTGCCCCCCCATAACAAAAATTTTTAAATTAAGTCTATGTCATGAAGGGGATTAAATAAATAGTATATATACTAATCATTTAAATGCCAAATGTGGAATTTTCTACCAGACAACTGGCTCTAGATTAGAAGAGACTAATGAGACATACCAAACAAATGAAATACATAAAAAATTGGATCCTGGTTAAAAAAGAAAAGATACTGGGGAAACAACTTAGGAAATTCAAAATGTGTGTTGAAAATTAGATATTATGCAATTATTGTTAATTTTCATAGGTGTAATAATTGTAGTTGAGTAGGAAAGTGCCCTTATTCTTAGATGTATGTTGAACCATGTAACAGTGAAGGATCATGGTGTCTGCAACTTACTTTCAAATTGTTCAGAAAACAAAAAGTGTGTGTGTTTATACTAGGCTATTCTGTATCTCCATGGGAAGTGGTAGTTTCTCCCCCAGAAACTACCAGATTAAACCAAGTTCCCAAGAATAAATATAGTATGATTCTGTTCTGCATTTAGTTTAAAAGCAGAATAAAAGAAACTGAATTTAAAATATTTTTAAAAGTAAAAATATATTTGTTTTTACTACTTTGAGAGTACATGTGTGGGGTTTAATGAAAGACTCTTCATGCCATTACTAATATTTGGAATGTATTATTTAAAAATTTATTATCTTCTATTTTAAATTTAACACAGATAGGATAATAATATGCAAACTGTTCAGTAAACCTGCTTTTTATACTTCATATATCCTGCATATCATTTTTAAAAGTTTTTTTAATATTTATTTTTGAGAGAGAGAGAGACAGAGTGCAAGTGGGGGAGGGGCAGAGAGAGAGAGGGAGACACAGAATCCAAAGCAGGATCCAAGCTCTGAGCTGTCAGCACAGAGCCCAACATGGGCCTTGAACCCACAAACCATGAGATCATGATCTGAGCCAAAGTCAGACACTTAAAGATTTTATTTTTAAGTAATCTCTACAGGGGTGCCTGGGTGGCTCAGTCAGTTAAGCATCTGACTCTTGATTTCAGTTCAGGTCATGATCTCATGGTGATAGGACTGAGTCCTGCATTTGGGTTCCACACTGAGCATGAAGCCTGCTTGGGATTCTCTCTCTTCTTCCGTCTCACTGCTCCTCCCCCTTCTCAAAATAAGTAAACAAACATTTAAAAAAACAAAGTAATCTCTATACCCAACGTAGGACTTGAACTTAAGTGTTCCATACTCTATCAACTGAGCCAGCTAGCACTCCATCCTGCCTATCTTCTCCTGTCAATACATATAGATCCATCTTTAACAATGGAAGCAGTTATACCATTTTTTAGCCAATAATCTCTTATTGATACTCAGGTTGATTCCAAAAATGTTCTGTAATGTATTATAGTGAATATTGCTCTAAATATATATATGCATACTTTCAGACTATATTTTCAGACTATTTATTAAAGACAGATTCCCATAAGTGGTATTGCTAGGTCAAGGGCTATGCATATTTAAATTTTTTATTCCCACCTTATGGGATGAACTGTATCCCCCCCAAATTCATATGTTGAAGTATTAACCCCCAGTTTCTCAGAATGTGATCGTATTTGGAGATTGGGTCTTTACAAAGGTAGTCAAGTTAAAATGAGGTCCTTAGAGAGGGTCCTATTCCAATAAGACTTGTGTCCCCATTAAAAGGTAAAATTTGGAGACAGACACACATGCAGAGAGTACACCAAGTGAAGATGAAGGCAGAAGCAAAGCATCTACAAATCAATAAACGCCAAAGATTGCCAGCAATCCACCAGAAGCTAGGAGGAGGCCTGGAACCAATTCTTCCTTACAGCTCTCAGAAGGAACTAACTCTATTAATACCTTGATGTAGAACTTCTAGCCTCCAGAGTCATGAGACGATAAATTTCTGTTGGTTTAAGCCATGCAGTTTGTGGACTTTGTTAAAACAGCCCTAGCAAACTAGTACAACCCATTACCAGACGGCTCTCACAGAAGGTTCTTTTATTTTATCCTAGTAATATTTTATGAGAGTGCCCATTTCTTCATACTCCCCAACTGTTGGCATTGTCAATCTTTCTAATCTTTTCAAAACAATTATTTCAATTTGCGTACCTTTGAACATTAGTAAGATTGATTAGCTTGTAAATAGTGTGCTCATTATAGTCTTTTGCTCATTTTCCTAATGGTGCAAATAAAGTTTTAAAATAATTTTTTTTGCAGTAATGCATAAACAGCAAACCACACACACACACACAGAGCTGAAAAAGATGTACAGTGAACACTAAGTCTTCTTCCTCTGCCCCTTAGTCTTTTAGTCCCTCACTCTAGAAATAGAATAATCGTTGTTACCAGATTCTGGTGCCTTGGAACAAGTTACTTAATCTCTATGTGCCTCAGTTTCCTCATCTGTAAAACGGGGATAACATCAAGTACCTTAATAAAGTTGTTATGAGGATTAAATGTGCTAATTACAGAAAGCCCTTAGAACAGTGTGTTAAACAGATAATGTTTAATGCTTTCAAAATCCTTCCAGTGATGTTATGTGCATGTAAAGCTATATAAATATATACACCCTTTTTTTTATACATGTACTAACATACTATACACTCTATACTAGAACTTGTACTGCAACATACATTAAGATATATATCTTGGAAGTTGTTTCATATCAGTAGTTTTCAAGAATTCTCATTCTTTTAAAGGACTATAACATTTCAATATATATGTGTACTATAATTTTAACACTGTTCTATTGATGTGAATTTAGATTATTTCCAATATGTTGCCTCTATAAACAATGATGCAATGACTAGATATTGGCCTGCATGGATTGTATTTATTGGGTAAATTCTGAGAAGCAGAACATTATTAATGTTAATAGGTATTGCCAAATCACCCTTGAAAGAGGTAGTTTCAATTTACATTGCCACCAATGTATGAGAGTTTCTATTTCCCCATGCCCTCAGTAGCATAGTGTGTTTGGATAACTTTTGGAATAGTTGACATTATTGCAACTTTGTTCAAACCATGAAAGTAAAGATGAGTGGAAAGTGTCACTTAGCCCATATCTTGCTAAAAGTGACAAGATTCATTCAGAAAATTTGCTT